GGGGGGGGCGGGAAGTGTGAAGAAAGTAGACAACAAAAGAGGGAACTGACCAGGTAGCATGTTGTTGTTGTTATGTGCCGTGGAGTCCACTGACTCACAGCAAACCCTCCTTGGGTTTCTGAGGCAGTATCACTATGGAAGTAGATTGCCCCATCTTCCTTCCGAGACCAGGTAGCATAGGATGTCTGAATGGTTTTCAAAGCTGGACAATGAATAAGGAAGACCAAAGAAGAATTGGTGCTTTTGAATTATGATGCTGGCAAAGAATACTAAATATACCATGGACTTCCAGGAAAATGAACAAATCTGTCTTGGAAGAAGTACAACCAGAATGCTCTTTAGAAGAGAGGATGGCAAGACTTGGTTTCACGTACTTTGGACAGGGAGACCAGTCCTTGGAAAAGGACATGATGCTTGGTAAAGTAGAGCGTCAGCGAAAAAGAAGAACTTCGTGAGATGGATTGACACGGTGGCTGTAACTACAGGCTCAAACTTAGGAATTGTGAGGATGGTGCTGGACTAAGCAGTGTTTTCATTCTGTCATACACAGGGTTGCTGAGTTTGAACCAAGTCAGCAGCACCTAACAAGAACCACATGGTAATTCTATTTTTAACTTTTTGAGGAACATCAGGCTGTTTTCCATAGTGGCTACACCATTTACATTTCCATCGGCAATGCACAACATTCCATTTTGTGCACTTCTTTGCTAACGCTTATTTTCCTTTTTTAAATGACAGCCAATGTAGTGGGTGTGACGTGATCATGCACACCTGGTAAGTGTGAAGTAGTACTGTACTTCCCTGATGACTAAGGATGTTGAGCATCTTTTCATGTGCTTACTGACCACTGGTCTATCTGCTCTGGAGAAATGTCTCATCAGTTTTTTACCTATTTTTGAAATGGATTGTTTTTAATTTGCTGTTGAGTTGTAGGAGTTCTTCATATATTCCAGGAATTAAACTCTTACCATGTATACATGATTTGCAAATACTTTCTCCCATTCTGTAGGTTGTCTTTTCACTTTCTTAATAATATCCTTTGATGCACAAAAGTTTCTAATTTTGATGAAGTCCAGTTTTTATTTTTTCTTTTGTAGCTTGTGCTTTCATCATCAGGCTCAAGAGAGGTTAGATAACTTGCTCAAGATCACACAGCCTGTAGATGGTGAGATCATTTGAGGACAGACATAAACAGCGTCAAAGCTTGTGCTCTTACCCACTGTACCTTTTCCCTTCTTGAGACTGTAAGCATGTCTGATGTTCCAGTAGGTCTAAGCTTAAGACTAGACCATGCCTGTCTCGCATCACGGTACTACCATGTCTGGTTGTTGTTGTTGTTATGTGCCGCTACCAGAGCTCCCCCATGTCTGGTAGTACCTAGTATATAGCAGGTTCTAGAAAATTATTTGTTGAGTGAATGTGACTCAATGTGAGGAAACGAAGTTATTTGTATAGAACTGGGTGCAGGATAGTGTAGCATTCCTGATATACATCTATATCTGCATCTATATTGTTTTTTTGTTGTTTGTTTGACGTGCTGTCGAGTTAGACCTGACTCATAGCAACTCCTCCTTGGGTTTCCGAGGCGGTGTCACTACAGAAGTAGATTGCCCAACCTTCCTTCCGAAGAGTGGCTGGTGGGTTGAACCACCAGCCTTCTGGTTAGCAGTCAAATGCCTTAGGCACTATGCCACCAGAGCTGTAATATGTATATGTATATGTATATGTATATGTATATGTATATGTATATGTATATATAACAAAACAACAAAATATATGAACAAACAAAAGATCATGTTTAATCGAGCATAACTGATAGATCATATATGCACCATACCTAACTGTAATCAGTGTTGGAAATTCCAAATCTACAGCTATGCAGTTCTTAGTCCAGCCCTTGTCCTAAGCCCTTATCCTAAACCATTGATGTACTACGTGGAATCACTGGTTGGGGTCTAAGTGGCCACAACTGGCAATCTAGATTTTCTCACTTCTCACAAACCTTTTTAACTTCTATCTGGGAGCTCTGGTAGCATAGTGGCTAAGACACTTGCCTGCTAACCAGACGGCTGGCGGTTCAAACCCACCAGCCACTCCTCGGAAGGAAGGTTGGGCAATCCTACTTCCGTAGTGATACTGCCTCGGAAACCCAAGGAGGGGTCGCTATGAGTCGGGGGAGACTCGACGGCACACAACGACGACGATGAGGAGCTATGGCGTCCTGAGAATCCAGCATGGTTGCATTTGTTTCAGAACACTTATAATAAACAACCCAAGTGCAGCGAGCGACACTGTGCTACCTTTGACAGCCTGTCCACGGCCAGTTCTTTATTTCCTAAAACCCAGAGGCAGGCTTATGAAGAGCACTGTCCGTGGCTGCGAATATGCTTAGTCAGCACCATCACTAGCAGGATGCGTAGACAAATCAAAGAAGTGCCTAGGGCGTATAACCTTCCAACTGTTTCTGGAAACAACCTAGGATCCGTGGCACAAAACAAAATACGATAAACATACAGCAACTCCAGTCCAAAATTATCAGTGACTCTTGTCTGGTCCTAAGGGCAAAGACCAAACCAAACTCCCGGCTAACGAGTGGATCCCACTCATAGCAACCCCATAGGGTTTCCAAGGCTGTAAATCTTAGCGGAGAGACAGGTGGGTTCGAACCACTGACTTTTTGGTTGGCAGTCAAATGCTTGAACCCCTAAATCACTACACCGCCAGGGACATAGGTGGTTAAAGCAGGCCGATTGTTTTTAAGGTGCTTTCCACCACATGTAAAGCTATTTTTAAAAGTGCTCTTTGCCCCCATGGGTCGCGCAGACGCCTAATTACTAAGAGGCTGACAAACGTGCAGCTGCAGAGATTTATCGCCCCACGGGAAATAATAAACTGCCACTTCTAGAAATAAAGATCCGCAGCCAATGCAGCGCCTCGGCTCGAGGGATTGGCCATCTCTGCCTTGACGTGAAATGGGCGGGCCCGGCCGATTAGCGACAGCGGCCGCGGGTCGCGGGGAGCTGGGCTGGGAATCCGCGGCTTAAAGGCTAGCTCTGGCGCCCACTCTCCGCCAGCGCCGGAGGTGTCTTCCTGCCCCACGCGTCTCACTAGCACCCCCAAGCCTCGGTACCCGAGTTCGGTGTGGTGTGGACCCGGGCCTGGGTATCCCGCGCGGCCAGGACTCCCCGGCGTGCGGTCGGCGGGGGACGCCGAGGCTAGGCCTGCTGGCGCGGGGCGTTTCCCGGGAGGGCGACCAATCTGTGCAGGGCTGAGCCGGGATTCTCTTCCGCTCACTCTGCCCAGGCCCAGGCTCCTGCGTAGCTCCCGGGAGAGCAGCGGAGAGCTCCCGGCCCTCGGGTAGACGCAATAAGTGAGAGGGAATCCCAGTTGCCTGGAGCTGTGATTGCTGCGACCCGAACCCGCAGCGCTGCGGAAGTGGTATGCGGAGCGCTCGGCTTCACACTGGCAACTTCACTTCTCCCACCATTCGAGAATTGAGAGGGTAGGATGGTGGCGCGGGCTTGGAGAGAGCCTTGTAATCAGTTCGTTCATTAAAACTTTGTGTGTGTGTGTGTGTGTGTGTGTGTGTGAGCATGAAGGTGTAAGTGCTCTGTAGAAATTTAGAAATTATTGTGTAAAGGAATGGGGTTAGTGGTGGTGAGGGCATGTGTTACCCCGGGGCCCACGGGTAAACGGATTCACTGTACAGGATGCGGCCCCGGGCGCTGAGATTTGAGGAAGTGGGAGATGCCCGGGCGGGGGCGCCTCGCCAAGAGTCCGCCACGCGCTGTTTGTTTCCTTTCACTTCCTGCGGCAGCTGCTGAAGATGAGGAGGAGAGCCGGCCTTGGGCGGAGCGGCCTCATTCCCCGGACCTGAGCGCCCACCTGCCGCCGCCAGCGGACTTTCGCAACCAGACCTGGAGCTCCCAGTATGAGTACTCGGTGAACTGGCGTTGTACACGTGGACCTGACACCTCGGGAGGTAATGCTGGCCCAGGTTTGAGTTGCTTGGGGAGAGTGAAAAAATCCAAAAATGGAGGACTTTTCTACCAGGACCTACGGCACTAGTGGCTTGGACAACAGACCTTTGTTCGGAGAGACGTCAGCCAAGGTGAGCGGGGACCATGGCTTTAAGGCCGGGTGTTCGTTGTGTCTGCCTCCCCCTTCCCCTCTTCCCTTCCAGAGTCCTGGCTGGGCCTTTCTGCAGCCCCTTAAAGGACTTGTAAGGAGAAAGCTGGTTCTTCAACCCTGCTTTCCTTCCCAAAATGTTTGATCTGCCACTTTTCTCCTTCTGTGGCACAGGGTTGGCTAAGTGCCTTGAGGGCTGAGTGGAGAAGAGTTCAGAAAGTTCTGGGCTGTTGGAGGCCCTTCAAGGGGAGTGCGGAGGCCCCTTTTCAGGAGGGAAGGCTGATGAGATGTTTGCACAGTCACACCTCCAGCTGGATAGCGGACCTCTAAAGGGCCCTGGAACCCTTTCAGGTGTGTGCCTCTGGCTTCTGTGAGAGAGGGCCAAAGAGAGGTGCTTTTGATTTGTTTACATGGAGCTGTGTTTTCTGCTGAGCCAATGAAGCAATCAAGGAAGGGTGGTGTGCAATGAGAGTACCTTGATGATGGAGCTCCATTTCAGGAAGTGGTTAAAGAATCTCTGGGTCCAAATAGGACATTACACTAGACTTAAATTTTTAAAAAAATACTTGGCTTTTAAAAGTATAACACCTTTATACTCAACTGCTGTCAAGTCAGATCTGACTCATAGCGACCCCTCCTTGTGTTTCCAAGGCAGTATCACTGTGGAAGTAGATTGCCCAGTGTTCCTTCCGAGGAGTGGCTCGTGGGTTTGAACTGCCAGCCTTCTGGTAGCAGTCAAGTGCTTTAGGCGCTACACCAGAGCCCCATATAACCCTTTATAGAAAGCTTCAATTGTGATGCCCTGGGCCATCAATTGAAGAGAGCTACTTTTCCTGCCCTAAGCATTGATATTCTGAGTAGTTTGGGCAAGATTAGCCTGTTTTTCCACTTAGAAAGTGGCATTGGTGATCTTTGTCACCTGACAAAGTGCTTTCAGTCTCTCAGAACAGCATATCAGGAGTCCAGAGTTCCTGGGTTTCTCAGCGTTGTCAGGAACCTTCCAGCTAAAAGGACAGGGAACTTGTACACCTGGCAGTCTGGGACATAACGCTGAATTTGAAAACTGCTAGCCAGCCACAGACTTCTGTTTTATTTTTTAACTTCCATATGGATTTTGGTTTCACTTCTCCAAGTGTTTGGATAAGAAAACATTTAAAGATGGATCCTGAGGAGATGAATCTTACTTTCCTTGTGGCTTTGCATAACCTCAGCCCACGGTGCACCTGGTTTGAGAATCATGGTTCTAGTCCAGTAGTCTTCCTATTCCTGCATATTATTGATCATAATATACTAGGTTTGGAGATCCAGGGACCTGATGTTGGGGTTCAAATAGAAGGAGATTTGGAGGCAGCTTGCTGCTTGGAGGGGCTGCACTCAGGGCATTTGGCTGCCCAGCTGTCCTGAGTTCCGGTATTTAGTCTCTCTCCACACTCACTGGCCCATGGATCAGACTTCTGGCCTCCTTTGACCCTATGGCCCCTGTAATGCAGAGATAGATGACTTGGTGTTAGACTTGTTGATTTATGTAGACACTTAGAAATACTGATGTTTTTTGAAAAGCTTAAAGACCAAAATGCCCAATGACTTTAGGTTTTTTATTGCCTGTGATCCATTTGAAACCAATCTAAGAACTTGAGTAGTCCACATGTATCTGTTTATTGCGTACTTGTTTAGTGTATGGGTATATTTGTTGTTGTTGTTATGTGCCGTGGAGTCAGACCTGACTTATAGCGACCCCTCCTTGGGTTTACAAAGCGGTGTCACTATGGAAGTAGATTGCCCATCCTTCCTTCTGAGGAGTGGCTGGTGGGTTTGAACCGCCAGCCTTCTGGTTAGCAGATACTGCCTCGGAAACCCAAGGAGGGGTTGCTGTGAGTTGGGTCCGACTTGAAGGCACATAACAACAACAGACAACAAGGTGGGCAATATAGGAGTGTTGCCTCAGTAATGAAAGGATAGGACACATGATAGTGGAGCCTGTCCCATGGAGGACAATAACTGCTAAAGCAGGGTGGATTCCTGGGGACCTTGAGGAACCCCCCTCTGACCCTGTGTATTAATGTTCCCAGTGTATTCCCTTTTTAATGTCAGGAAACTGGACACAATAGCCATGTTGCAATGGAAACAATATTGGTGAGTTGCCACATCTGAGAAGAAAATCCAGAAGGGAGGACAGTCTTTCTGTCATCACACTCAAACTCACTTCCGTCAAACCAGATCCAACTCACAGCGACCCCTCCTTGGGTTTCCGAGGCGGTGTCGCAACGGAAGTAGATTGCCCAATCTTCCTTCTGAGGAGTGGCTGATGGGTTTGAACCGCTAGCCTTCTGGTTAGCAGTCAGATGCCTAAGGCACTATACCACCCGAGCTCCTACTTCTTGTCATAGTGTGACAAATGATTTGACCTTTTAGTAATCTTACTTGCTTTGTAACAACTGACAGTATATAGCCTCACAATTTTATTTCTAGAAAGGACCCGAGCTTTATGTAGGTCTATCCCCTAATTTTAACGCAAAGACAATTGAAGCCCAAAGACATACTCTGAGTTAGTGCCAGTGAATACTTTGGAGGGGTGTTTGTGTTTCTTCATTGCCAGGCACTTGCTAGGCATTTATCTTTGTCTTGTTTGGTCATTGAATTCCTTTATAAGATGGCTATTATTATTTGTACTTTACAGCTGAGGAAGCTGGACCTCAAAGAGGTTTATTTGTTCACAGCCATATAACTGGTTCCCTTCTGGTAATGCTTGGCCAGTTTTCCTTTCATTAGTTATAATATGGCATAGTGAGTAGTGACTTGATTAGATAGTCTGTGCCACAGTAGTTCTAAAAGCTGTCTAGATAGTCATGTACCTGTTGCCTTTTCATAGGAAATGGGAGATAAGTAATTTGTCCAAATTCACATAGTGGATGAAAAAGACGCTGAATCATATTGTAGACCAATAAATACATAACTCAAGAGGACTTTGAATAGCACCTTCATGGGGAATCCTGAGGGAACTTCTGTCTTCACCTGTACCTGGTGCCTAGTTGATTTCATTTATTGAAATCCTGCTCAGTCTTTAGCATGGTATTTAGAAATGACTTTAAGGAGCTCTGGTGGTGCAGTGCCTAAGGCAGTTTGACTGCTAACCAGAAGGTTGGCAGTTCAAACCCACCAGGTGCTTTGAGGAAGAACGATAGGGCAATCTACTTGCACAAAGATTTACTGCCTGGGAAACCTAATAGGGGTCACTGTGAGTCAGAATCTACTGGATGGCAGAGGGTTTTACAGATAGAGCTGTGGAAAAAAAGGCAAAGTGAAACTGCTCTCTGTTGTTACAATAAATATCTAAGGGATAATAGACAAAATGAAGAGCTGTTCACCTTTTGTAAGTAATCTCTCTCTCATTCCTTGATACCATTGGGATTATATATTGTTAGCTGGACTGTTTTATTAAGAATGTCGTTCCTGGTCAGAATGTCCAGGTTCCTTTTTCATCTGTTCTGACCCATTCCCAAGTTCTGTGATGTGATAACATCTGTTTCAGGTGAACCATAAGTGTGGCTGGATGCCAAGATACAGCTGAAGTTTACAAACTTACCCTGTAGTTTAGCATTTTTTAAAGGATTAGCATTATCTAATTCTTCCAGGCTCAGGGTCTCTTCTGCCCTTTAAACGTTTGCTTTAGGACAGTGCACAGCTTGGGCAGTCTTTGTAACTGTGCAATAGAGGGACATTAAGAGATCTTTGGGGCTTGTGAATGAATCTTGATTTGCTAGCTAGCTACAGACTCATCTGAAATCGATTTCAGCTAATCTAGTTTGATGAATTTAGGAGGGGAAGGACTGGGCTGTTCTTTCAGTGGGAGAAAGCAAGCCATTATACCATAAAACCCAAAACCTGTTACTATCCAGTTGCTTCTGACTCATAGCAACCCTGTAGGACAGAGTGGACCTGCTGATAGGTTTCCCAAGGCTGTAATCTTTATAGAAGCAGACTGCCACATTTTTCTCCTGCACAGTGGCTGGTGGGTTTGAACTGCTAACTTTTTAGTTAGCAGCCAAGCACTTAACCACTGCACCACCAGGACTCCTCTCAGTGTACCACAGCAAGTGCGAATGGGAAAAGGAGGTCACTATACATGGTGGAACACAGTGTAAACAGTTCTAGACCAGCTTACTCTGTTGATTTTCACTGATGACAAAATAAATGATTTCCTCCCCTAAGAAGGGTGGTGACAATTAATGTCCTTTTATTTCATCCTGGATGTGATGTAACAAAGCAAATGACTTCAGGAGTTGGTGCATACCCTAAACTCCCCAGCAGGTAACATGGAGGTGGGGGTGGGGGGAGACCTCTGTGTAGGGGGCAAGATAGTGGACCCTGAGGTTCAGATTTTGCTCCAAAGGCAAAAATTGCATATATGTTAATGCATTTGCCCTGTATCCTGCCTTTCTCCTCCTCCCCCAAAAAGTAAGCCAACAGACAAAAATGGTGGAGAAACAGGGTCTCTTCAAGGAATTCAGAGGTGGTACACTTGGCCTCTGCAAATTACAGTGTAAGATTGCAGTGTTACTTCATGCCCGTTTTTGGGCTTTTGCTGCTTAATTAAAAACAAAGCTGTGGTTAAGATCGCAGTGTCAGTGCCCGCTGTCCCCAAGCCCTGACCTGGAGACGCACAGGCTGTCTTCCGAGGAGCGCGTGCTTGAAGTGTCTGTCCTCTTGATGGTACTTTTCTGGGAGCGCAGCTCCTTTCTCCGTCAGAGGCAAGCTGGTTGTCCAGGACACTGGAAACCCCTCTCGCCCAGCCTGCCTGGTCAGTTTTAATTACTGTTTCTTGTGGGGTAGAAGCAATTGAGGACAAGCAGACACTGTGACTGTTTTCTTTCCTACTGTCTGTCGTAAGTCTTTCCTCCTCCAGCCCCAGACCAGTGGACTCAAAATCTCTCAGGCATTTGTGTTTTTAGAAGGCTCCTAGGGAACACTGATGCCCACAGGAGG